AAAGCGGACAGGAACTCGCGTCGGATCGCCAGCAAGTCAACGAGGTGCCCCGCCAGCCGCCTGGCCATCTGCGGCGCCAGCTTCCGCTTCTGCCCCAACAGCGTGTCCAGCGCGTGCCGGAGCCGCCAGGCCCGGGCGGGCCGCGGGCGTACCTCGCCACGACGACCATCCCAGACTCGGCCGAGGATCTCCATCTCGCGGCACGGGCGGATCTCCTCGTGGACGGCGAACCCCACGGCCTGCAGCTCCCGCTTGAGCGCGTCGAGGAGGGCCTCGCACTGCCGTCGGGAGCCCGCCACCACGTTCCCGTTGTCGACGTAGGGTGCGACCCGTGCGGTATGAGGATGGAGGACAGGCGCCTCCTGACGATCTCCCACCACGTCCGCGGGAAGGCCGAGAGAAAGCTGGGCTCTCCGGCCACACTCTGAGAGAGCATCGTGGCAGAAGTAGAGCGCCCAGCTCCACCCCATCGGCATTCCGCGGAAGCACGCCTCCACCTGCGCCGTGGCGGCCACGGGGACGAGCTCGCCGGTCTCCTCGTCGAGCTCCTCAGTGACGCCGACCTCCGACGCGGAGACGTGGTAGCCAAGGGCGAACCACGAGGCCATGCTGTCGTTGCTGAACTGGTAGTAGCCGTCGAGGAGGTCGATGCTGGCCGCGTGCGGGACATCGGAGGGGTCAACCCCCCTCTCGTCCGGCGCGGTGGCCGAGTCGGCGAGCTCCCAGGCCGGGCCCACCAGCACATGTCCCAGGGCCGCTGGCGTAGCCAAGGAAGATCGCGGTGGGTCACGATGAAGGGCATTGGTGGCCCGACAGTCGAGAACGAGTCGAATAGCCCCATTCTTCTTCCAGACAAAGAAGGCACCCACCCGAGACCGAATCCGAGTACGCCACGTGATAAGTCCAGCCTTCTCCAGCTGTCGTATGAGGACCCCCCGCTCCGACTGAGGCCCAACAAGGCGAGGATCCCAATAAGCTCGTGGCAGATCGCGCAGCTCATCCACCTCCGCCTGCGGCCGAAAGATGTGACGTTGAGGGTCCAGGAGTTTGCGCCGGGCGGTCGGCCCGACGAGGCGCTCCATGGGTTGAGGGCGGAGGTCACCTTTGAGCACGCGGAGCTTCTCCGGGTCGAAAGGCGCCACCGTCGTGTCCTGGTCCGTGTCGTAAATATCCTTGCACTTGAGGAGCTCACACAAGGCTCCTCCTGGACAAAGCTGTCGTTCGTCAGGCCGAGGGAGAAAGGCACTGACAGCACGGCCGACGTTCCCGAGGACCGCGTCGTTGAAGGCGGAGACCGGCTCGCCGGACTTGTGGCGGTTGGGGAACTCGTAGGTCGAGTGCCCTGAGCCAGCGGAGGAGTACAGGGAGTTGAGCGACGCGACGGCGTCAGCCACAAAATTCTCGCGCTCATCCTGCGCAGCCAGACGCCGGCGGAGATACCGAGGTAATCCCTGACGATCCCCCGCGTTCCGATACCGAAGACGAAGAGGAAAAAGGGCCACGCCCGGGTCAGGCTGACCACGGTGCGCGGACATGACAGGAGGCATCCCAACCAGCGCGGCGGGGCGGCCTCCTCCTGCCAGGACCGATCGATGATCACTTCCCCCCGTCGCCCTTCCTGGGCGGGGGGGCCTTCGAGGCGTTGACGAGCTCCTCTGCGTAGAGGCGGTGCTGCTTCATGGTGAAGGCCTCCGTCTTCTGCTCCTCGGCGGTCCACTTCGCGAAGTCGCCCACCATCGTGGCGCCTCCCGTGGCCAAGCTGCTGTGGACCATCGCCCCCGCGCCCCGGAAGTCCGGCGCCTTCGCATTCCTCATCACGGCAGCATGGATCTGAAGGACGAGTCGAGCAGCTGCCTCCGCGCCTGCACTCTGCTGACCATTCACCTGGTCGTAGGAGAGAAGGTGATGCACGACGATCAGGAGGTCGCGGTGCTCGTGGGCCACGGGATGCTCGGGCGAGAGGCCGGAGCTCGTGAGGTAGAAGTCGTGGTAAGTCCCAATGTCGTGGCCCGACCCCCGAATCGCGGCAAACAGCTCGGCGCACGCCGAGGGCCCTCGGAACGGCCAGTCGTCGGGCGGCTTCGGCTTGAACGGGGTCATGACCGCCATGGCGTCCCGAAGCAGGAGGTGCCTTCGGCCTGCCGCGTCCCGCTCGAGAGGGAGGATGCGGGGATCCCGGCCGGGGCCATTCCGCTTCTCGTTGAGCCAGTCCGTGTAGTCCGCGCGGGTCACCCGCTCCACGAAGCGCCAATGGCGGTCGCCCCCAGCGTCGCGGACCTCCACCATCCCCTTCGCGTCCCGGTTGATGAAGCCAGCCGGGTTCGCCAGCGCCGCGTCCTCCACGGCCTCTCCGAACTCGTCGTCCGCCGTGTCGGAGTAGTACCACTTGGCCTCCACGTTGCCCGCGGCCACCGCAGCCACACCGCCGAACACCACGGCCAACTGTCGGGCCGCCCGATGCCAACCCGCCAGCGTCTCCTCGTTCACGTCCCCGAAGTGGTAGTGATTGTTGCGGAGGCGCGCTGGCGCTGGAGCATTCCGAGGGATCGGCAAGACTCGATACTGAGCCAAGTCGATGACCTGGATGTCGCCGTCGGGTGTGGCCACGACCCACCGCCCCTGATCGTTCAGCTTCTCGAGCAGGATCCTGGTGTGCCAATTCACGTTCGCATCCTCGGGAAAGTACACCGCGATCTGGGGCTCCACAATGTCCAGCCCTCGGAGGTCTGCGGCGTTGGCCATCACTCAGGAGCAGGAAGAGCACGAGGAGGAGACCGACGAGGGCGCCAGACGGCCGAGCTGGCCGAGGGCGGTGTAGACGGAGTGGAGACGCCCGCTCGCCCGCCGGGGCCAATCCCGGCGTGCAAGAAGTCCTCGTTGTCGTAGTGATCGTGCAGCGGGACCGACCGCCGCGACGCCCGCCTGCTGCACGTACAGCCCAGGCGCACCTTGCCGAGCCCAAGCCCGGCCAGCAAGAAGATGAGCCGGTCCACCCAGTCCCAGGGGATCCGAGCCAGGAAGTCGTCGTCGATGGAGACCACGCTCTGGCAGGGCGGGCACTCCGGGCAGTCGGGCACGTGCCCGTACTTGGGCCCAGGCTGGGGCGCGAGGGCCCACCAGTCGCGCCAGTCGACCCCCTCGAGGAAGTGCGACCAGCGCCCAGCGCCTGCCGCCGCCGCCGCAAGAACGTTCGGCCCAGCGCCGAGGTGGGGGCGTGCGGCACCTGGCTCCGCCATAAAAAAGGCTAGAACCAGAGCGAGCTGCGGTCCGATGAAGACACTGATAAAGCTCCAGAGCACCAAAAAGCATGTATTAACACATATATATATATATATACATACATACATACATACACCATGTAACGCCCCTCACGGGGGTAGAAACCAAGCGTCGTGTTGTCTCCTCCTCCACTCGTGTTCTTGCGCCAGACGTCCACCCCTGAGGCTCTCGGAAGTTCCCACAAGGCTCGCAGGTAATCAGAAAAATGCCTCGACCATCGAAGACTAAGTTATTCGAGGTTTCGTTTTCGACTCCGTTCCCAGAGCCCCGACGTGGTGTCTGTTCATCGGGTCGGCGCCCTTGTTGTCGTGAAATTATCCTCCAAGGGCCTCTTTGTGACGCTCCCGAGAGAGGGGAGGAGGGAGGAGGGAGGAGGGAAGGAGGAGGGAGGAGGGAGGAGGACGGATAGGGGAGGAGGCGGATCTCGCGCACGGCGCTATCGGAGCCATCGAGGCTACGGATGAGGTAGGCGGAGGAGTAGGAAGAGGAGGAGGCGGAGGAGGAGGAGGAGGAGAAAGAGGAGGAGAAGGAGGAGGAAGAGGGGGAGGAAGGATTTGAAGCAGGACGGATGAGGAGAAGGATGGCGACGACGAGCAGGAGGAGGAGAGGGAATGACGCCCGTCCTGGAATCTCTTGGTGTCGCCGTGGCTCTCCTAGAGCGTGATGGGGGTCCTGTGGCCTGTTTGGGCTCTTCGGGGCCTCTTGGGGCCTCTTGGAGCCTCCTGGGCTCTCTGGAGCTCCCTGAGTGTAATTCAAAGTGGGTCATCGGGGGGCTCTTGAGATCTCGTGGGCTCTCCAGGGGCCGCCATGGGCCCTCCTGGAGCCTCCGTAGGCCCTCTAAGAACTCTCTCGCGGGCGCGGAATGATGAAAACAATTTCACGCATGGGGGCCTTTCCGTTGAGAAGGGGGGCGCTGTGCAGAGTAGGTCCTCCTGGGGCCCTCCGGAGGTCTCCTAGGCACTCCCGAGGCCGCCATGGGCCCTCATGGAGCCTCTGGGGGCCTCTAAGAAGCCTCTCGCGGGGGCTGAAAAATGACAGTTTCACGGATGGGAGCCTTTCCGTTGAGACGGGGAGCGCGGTGAAAGGTAATTAAGTGACGACAGTGTCGCATTTGAGGCCCCAAATCGTCTTTGGGCACCTCGGGCGCGAATCCCGCTCCCCCATCGTACGGCGCGATTTCCCCTCCCCCCGCTGTCCCGCCGGACCCCGGGAGGGTGATTTTTGTGGGTTTCGCTTGTAAGAAACACTTCCCCCCCTCTCGACGGTGATGGAGGGCAGGCGGCGGAGGTGGGCGGGTTGGCGGGGTGGCGGGTTGGCTGGGGTTGCGGGGTGCCTGGTTGGGCTGGTTGAGCCGGTTGAGTTGTTTGGGTGGCTGGTTGGTTGGGTTGGCTGGTTCGGCTGGCTAGGGCAATTGGTTTCGATATTCATATCATGTTCGGTATCTCTCTTTCTCTCTCTCTCTCTCTTGCTTCCCTCTATCTCTCTCTCTGTTGCCGGATTAGAGTACAAGTAACCCGATACCCCCATTATTGCACGTCTCCCCTTCCCTCTTATCTTTTATCTTTCGCTTCAGCTTCCCTCCGTGCCCCATTCCTTCCCTCCGCTCACTTGCCCTTAGGACCAGCGCTGTTTCAGCACCGACGACCAGATCGCGCCTCCCCTCCCACAACCTCCAATCGATTTCTGCTCAACGAGCAGCCGGAAGCTTTCTCAGGCGGCACCTTGCAAGTGGAACGCGAAGCAGCGCCTCGACTCGTCCCAGACCTGCCGAGAGGCGAAGGAGGGGACTAGCGGTGCAGACGAGGCGAGCGGTGCAGACGAAACAGACATCCCCTCAAGTGGCCATGCAAAGACAAAAGCAAGGAGGCGCTCCCGAGGAGTCGGCATTTCCTGAGGTCCCGACCTGGGGAGCTGGGGTGGGTCACGGGTGAGCGGAGGCAGGGAGGCCGCATGCGGTCGGGAACATGTGCTTAGCGCGTCGCAGCATCGGCCCCGGCGACACGCTACGCCGTGCAAGCGGATAGCGTGTCGCTCCGCTCCGCGGGGCGGGAGGCTGGGAACAACTCGGGGCTCGTCGCTTGGAAATGGAAAGTGGGGGCCCTATCGCTCCGAAATGTGAGGGGCTAGAACCGGCGGAGCAACACGCTAAGCCAATGCTTCCGACCGTGCCCCATACTGTCGACTGCCACGCTTCGTCCCATGTGCAGCAGAGCCACGATGCCCTTGAGGATGAGAGCGCTCTCGACTGTCTCAGACCCCGCGCGCGGTGTCCCACGTTGTCGCCTTCCTGGCGGAAGAAGGCGGTCGTGCGTGGCGCGCTCGCACGCTCTTGCGCCGCGGGCTGCTCGCAGCGACCAGCCCGAAGCACGGCATGGCCCACCCACTGCCTCGGACGCGACCGCGGCAGCCGGAGGCGGAGGAGGAGGAAGAAGAGGAGGAGGAGGCTGATCGGCATGGCCGTGCAGGGCACAGCCTTGGCACCGTTGGCACCAGACCCGGGCGCGCAAAAGGGGCGGTGCCGGCCGCACTCTGCCACGGGCAAGGCAGTCATGGCTGAGTAGATGTGTACTTCTCGGCACGCTGCGCGGGTTGTGGGACCGAAACGGTCCGCGATCCCGCGCCTCGATTTGTAGACGGCGTCTCGGAACGAATGCATTTTCCGTTCGCATTGCCTTTCCCCCGTGTGTCGAGGTCAGATTTTCGACTGGCCTTAGGCCGGGAAATCCTCAGGGCGGACTTTCGACCAGCCTCAGGCCAGCGAGTTCTGAAGACGGATCTTCGACCAGCCTTAGGCTGGCGAGCCCGCGTGCGGGGAGAAACGCTTCCGACTTTGAGCGAAGCTGCTGCTGCAAGATCCGGCATCGTGCCCTTGAGGCGCGAGTTAGAGTGTCCGCGGGTCCTTGGTCCAATCCCTGAAGCCTTAGTCCTCGATCCTGAGGTAAAGGGCCCAGATCCGAAATTGCCAACATCTCGCTGGGTTTGGCGCGGTTTGTCGAGTGACCATTTTCGGAGCCAAGAGGGCCCAGAGGGCCCCAAGAGGCTCCAAGACGCTCCAGGAGGGGTTCGAATCGAATCGCCGCATATTCAAAACGCCCAGATGGCCCGAAGACGGCCCAAGAAGCCTTCGAGACTCCCCAAGAAAGCCCCAAGAGCCTTCCCAAGAGAGCCCCAAGAGGCGAGCATCATTGATGTTTGTGGGGTTCTCGCTTTTTCGAGCCTCCCACACTCCAAGACGGTCACAGAGGCCCCCAAGACTTCCCCAAGACGGCCCAAAAGGCCACCGAGAGGGAACCAAGACGCCCCAAGAGGAACCCAAGACGGCTCAAGAGGCGCCCAAGACGGCTCAAGAGAGAACCCAAAGACAGCCCCAAGAAGGGCCCAAGAGGGGGAGCACGAACCGAGAATCCGAGTCTTCCGCCCCGCACAAAAAGTCCCAGGAGTCCCCAAGAGGCCCCCAAGAGGCCCCTAAGACTGCCTCCAAGAGGCCTCCCACGACATCCCAGCGGACATCCTAGAGGTCTATGAGCCACAACCTAGGCACGATGGCGAGATACGCCGAAGGCCATTAGAAAACATATGGCGTGCACAACGCCACTTACTTGAAGTAAACCAATCTGAATATTAAATTGGATGCGACGTGGGTGATCTGACCCGGGTCAATCCAGACCCGGGTCAGCAAGAAACCAAAGAACTGCAATGCATGACAAATAAAACTGCAACGCAGGTCTTCGCAACCCGGGCCGCCTCGCGGCCACGAGCGGCTCGCTGACCCGGATCAGCCAGAGGGGGTCTTCGCAGGAGCCTGCAGGATCTGGTGCCCTGGCTGACCCCCGTTCGCATTGACCCCCGTCTCTTGAGCCCCGACGACGGTGAGTCAGACACGCACCGGTCTGTGCACCTTCTTCCTTCGCCTCCTCCTCCTCCTCCTCCTCCGCACAGATGTCTCCTCTTCATGCTCCTCATACTCGTGCCTTCTATCAATCCTCCTCCTCCTCCTCCTGCGTCCTCCTCCTCCTCTCCGCCCTCCTCTCCGTCCTCCTCCACCACTCCACTTCTTCCCCATCCCCCCTGTTCCTACACACTATCCGTCCACCTTTTCCTCTTCGTCACCCCTCCTCCCCCCAAAGATTTCTGCATCTGCAGCCTTCCCATCGCCCTGTCCTCCCTCTTCCCTTTCCTCTCCTCAGCCTTCTCGTTATGATCCACCTCCGCCCAAGCCTCCTTCTCCTCCTCCTCCTCCTCCTCCTCATCATCATCATCAGCATCATCATCATCATCATCATCATCATCATCATCATCATCATCATCATCATCATCATCATCATCATCAGCATCATCATCATCATCACCACCATCACCATCATCATCATCATCATCATCATCATCATCATCATCAGCAGCAGCAGCAGCAGCATCATCATCATCATCAGCATCACCATGTTTCTCGTCATCGTCCCCTTCTCCATCTTCGTCGTCATTACCCTTCCCCTCAGAACATGATTGTTCTCGCTCACTCCTCTTCCTCCTCCCCCTTCCCCTCTTCCTCCTCCTCCTCCGCCTCCTTCTACTCCTCCTCGCCTTGTTTCTGCTCGTCTTCCTCATCCTAGTCCGCATCTTCAAACCTCCTCCTCGCCCTACCCCTCCCCATCCTCCTCCTCTTCGCCCTTCCTCTCCTCGTCATCACCCTCTTCGCCCTCATCCTCCTCGCCTTCTCCTACCCCTCGCCCGCGCCCTCGCCATCCTCCTCTTCCTCCCACTCCTCCACCCGTCCGTCGGCCCTTCTCCCCCCTCCCAAGACTCCTCGCCCTCGCCCTCCTCGCCCTCGCGCCCGACCTCCGCCGCGCCCCGCCCCCGCGCGAAAGACGTCGCCCTGCTCGCTGGAGGGGGCGGGGCCGACCAGCGGCTTCCACGCGCCCGGGTCGGTGGAGTGCTGGGGGGGGCGCGGCGCGGGGGCCGCCGCGCGGGGCCGGCGAGCGAGGATGGGGAGGAGGAGAGGGAGGGGAGGGGGGGGCACAGTGGGAGGGGAGGGGAGGGGAGGTAGGGGGGGGGGCAAGCTGGGTGCGCTCGCGTCATATCTGACATCCTACCCCTCCCTCCCATCCCTTACCATGCCGCAGATCCCCTCTCTACTCGCACAGTCGGATGTCGAGCAGGGCAATGATCCCGAAAGGGTACGCGATGTATTGTAGAGCAGGCATGGCATGGCGTAGAAGAGCACCGCGAAGCGTAGTATCAACCTAGCATTGCATTGCATGCCGTGGCATGGCACGGGGAATGACGCCAGCGCTGCAGCGGGAGCACGAGTCGAAACGAGCGGAAGCGCGGAAATGAGGCCAGCGCTGCAGCGGGAGCACGATTCGGAACGAGCGGAAGCACGGGAATGATGCCAGCGCTGCAGCGGGAGCACGATTCGGAACGAGCGGGGCCCGAAAATGAGGCCGGCGCCTCAGCGAGAGCAGCATTTTGGCAAAACATGCAGGCGAAAACCCAACTCTGGGGAAACCTGTGTGTAAAAAACAATACGCGGGGAGGGGTCGAGCACTTTCAAACCGTCATCAGGGGAAGAGGGAGAGTAGTATTCATATTGAGTAATTGTGAAGAGGGGGAGGGATAGGAGGGAGGGGAGGAGGGGGAGGGGGAGGAGGAGGGCGAGGTGGGGGAGGGGAGGGGGGGGGGGGGGGAGGTTGAGGGGAGGGGGAGCGAGAAGGAGGGGAAGGAGAGCACAGACCAGGGGGCGGAGGGGGGCGGGCCGGAAGGGGACTTGGGCGCGCGTGTAAGCACCCGGTGGAGGAGCGGCGGCCGCATGGAGGAGGAGGAGGAGGGGGAGGAGGTAGGGGGAGGAGGGGGAGGGGGAGGGAGAGGAGGAGGAGGAGGAGGAGGAGGAGGAGGAGGAGGAGGAGGGATCTAGACCAGGCCCCTCACCAGAAGAAACGCACACGGCAAAACATCGGCGCCAGTAAACCGTCGCCGGAAGCGGTGAACAAAAAGCTGGAAAACTGCCATGGCGCTTCCAGGGCGCACTAACCCAGAACCCCGACGTCACTCTTTTTCGTGTCGTGGACCCCCAGAGGTCTCGACTCAATTCCTGGGACTGCTTCATCCTGAATCACTGTTTGACGACCCAGGGGCCCGGCGAGGGCCCCCAATGGCAGAAAATAGCCAATTGACCTCCCGTCGCGTTTTTTCACGACCCGAGGGGCTCTGGGAACAGCGTAGGCAGCAATATTAGGCCCGGGGTGTGCAGGGACCGACTGTCCCGGCATTTCTATAGGCCTAGCACAAGACATGATCTCATAACAACGTGATGTTCCACGAACGACAACAAGTGCTATCAGAACATGAATCAGATAGAGGGAACAAGCTCAACGGCCTCAGACAAAAGAACTCTGAGAGCACTTCGTGCAAGCCTTGAGTAGGGCCAAGGGGTCAGGTCTGCAGAGCACCCAAACGGACGTCAAGGGGCGCAACCAACCTGTTCGGTCAAGCTGAAACTGATGCACCACACCCGGCGTCAAGCCAAAACGTTGGACATAAACGAGCGGTTGGATATTGCACACCTTCGCCGGCTTAACAGGCGAGGCGTTGGACCACCTTGACGTCCCTGGCTTGGTGGTCCTGCAGAGGAAGGCGCTCTTTGACCCTCGGCCCTGCTCAACTTCGTGCAAGCCGCAAAGAGGTTCTTAGAACATGCTCTGGTGGCCCTGTAGGCAAGCCAGGACGCCTCGCCGCTGCTCGAATTCAGTCGGGCGTGTCCCCATACAGAGGGATTTGGGGCGAACATTTTTTAGATACCCTAAAAGTACACCAAACATGCTCAAACATAATTAGTAAAAAATTGTCCCCTGACTATGTTTTGCGTACTTTTGAATGTGCCTCCTGTAGAGGAACACGCCCGACGTAAATGTACACGTCGTAAGTGTGCTCGTTTCTATATGGTTCCTGGCCCCCTCAGTGGCCAGGACGAGGCCCAGGATAGCACACTTAGACATGAAAAGGATCTTGGCCCCCCAGAGAATCAAAGAGCTTCGAATCACTAGAAATGAACCATGTGTAGGCAAGCCAGGACGCCTCGCCGCTGCTCGAGGGGCGGGCGGCGTCCTCGAGGAGGAACTCCAGCGGCTTCTCCGCCAGGGAGGGCTCCGGCCGCTCGGCCGCGGGCCAGGCCTGCGGGGGGCAGAGGAGGCCGTCTGCCACAGGTCGGCGCTCGCTCTCCCCCTCCTCGCCCTCCTGGAGGGCGAGGAGGGGTCCTTCTCCTGCTCTTCTGAACAGAGCAGGAGGAGGGCGCCTCCTCCTGCTCTGTTCAGAATAGGGATTCAACAACACAAACGTAAACTTTTGGCGCTCCGCGCGGAATTCTTGGACTCTCGCTGGACCTCCCTCCCTGGCGCGCGGAGCGCGCCAGGGGCGGCGCCGGAAGCGTCGCCAGGGGGCCCAGGCGCGGATCCAAGAAGTCCGCGCGAAGCGCCAAAAGTTTATGTTTATGTGTTTTTGTTGTTCTTCGACTGTTGCGAATGCTTTGTGCATGGGCACTGGCAGGCATGAGAGCTGTCGAACAGGCAGCGCAGGGCCGACTCTTCCAATTCTTGTTGTTGATATTGCCTCCTCCTCCTCCTCCTCCTCCTCGTCCTCGCTACTTTCTCCCCTTCTCGTCTGCTCCTTCCTCCTCCTCCCCTTCCTCCGCCTTCTCCTCTTCCTACTCCTCGCCCTCATCCTCCTTCCTCCCCATCCACCCCTCGTTCTTCCCTCCTCCTCCTCCTCCTCATCCTCCTCTTCATCCTCCTCCTCATTTCTCCTCCTCATCCTCATCCTCCTCCTCCTCCTCCCTCCGTCCTCCTCCTCCTCCTCCTCCTCCTCCTCCTCCTCCTCCTCCTCCTCCTCCTCCCTCCTCATTTTCCCCTCGGACCTTAAAACGACCCCACGAGGCCCCAAGAGACCTCCAAGAGGCCCCCAGGGTGCCCCCAAGCGTCTCATTGTCAACGACCCAAGCACGGTGGCAGGATGTGCCAAAAGGCCAATACGTCCGCAGGCGTGTTGAATGTCAACGCTCTGTTTGGCCCTTCCACAAGTGTCAGTATGGTCTTCGGCCCAGGCTGCCAGCCGCCCGCCATCTGGAAACCACGGCAACGTCAAGAACACCCACCTCATATATGTCCAAGTGGACCCAATGTGGCCTCCCGTACGGTTGAATGTCGCCTCCGAGACGGCCAGATTCACCTCCGAACGCCCTAAGAAGCCTTAGCGAAGACCCCGAAGCGGCAACATTCACGGATTCGGATTCAATTTAGGTCGGGCATGCCCCCCCTACAGGCGGATGAAATAGCCAAACCATCTTCAAAGCTTGTATAAGAAATTCGCCTGGCGAATACAAGCAACAAAGGCAAGACCAATCAACATCGAATCGAGAAGCCGGATCGAATCGGAATGCGCGTTGGATCGGGTTGCATCGGCACGGAGTCGAAATCGCATCGGATCGGACGCGCCAGCATGCACAATGAAGCCAAGCAAGCATCGGACCGCATCGGATCGTCAAATAATCGGGGTCGAATCGGACCGAGAGGGTCAACATCGACATCGAAACAGACCGTCTGGATTGAAACGGACCATGTGAGGGCCCCCATCCGAAGCTAAGGTCTACGGTTGTGATTATTTCAGAAATGCGATGTCCAGATGTTTTCAATACGGGGCCTCAAGAAATCATGACCCTTTCCCCAGGGCGTTTTTCATCGCGAGTCGTTGTTTGACTTGTATTTCCCAAACGTGGTGGTGACAACACCCGGCGGTGAGTCTCGGGCGATTTGGTGTCACCACCTGGTTCGGGAACTCGTGTGGTTTTTCGAGGATGTCCAGAACGCTGGTGGGTCCAGGAGTCACAAAACCCTGCGGTGACCCCGTGTTCTAAAACCCAGCGGTGACTGTTTGAGGATTCCAGGTCACCAGGTCACCACCTGGTATCTCACCACTTGGCTTGAGGGTTTCCAATTGACGGTCTCGGGGCCTGTCGAGGGCCACCAGTTTCTGAATGAGCGTCGGGGGGGTCGTCACCCCCGCCGACAGCCCCGCATCGATCCCCGTCGCGGGCAGCCACCGCGCGCCGAAGGCGCTCCGACCCCCGTCGCGGCGCGACGACAGGCGAGGTTGACCCCCCGTCGGGGGGGTACCCCCCTACGCTTAGTAAGTAACCCAGAGAGCACAACGACTGCCGTCGTGATCTGTTGTCAGGGCGCAGGGGCCCTCGGGCCAGGCGCAGGCCCCGCAGAGTGGCCGCAGAGCCTCGCCAACAGAAACGGCCGCCAGTGGCCCCTCGGGGGAGCCGGCCCGGAGGGCTGGCCAAGGCCGCGGCCAGCGGCGACGGCAGGACCTCTCTCGGAAGAGCCCGGCTCTCCCCGTCCCTGCGAAGGCCGTGGGCAACCGCGTGTGAGACCTTCCCCTGCAGGGGTGATTTCTAGCACTTTGCACCTCTCTTCTCAAAGTCCCCTTCATTGGGCGAGCGACGACATATGTACATGTACGCCCTCCGCGGTCCTGCCTGCACGAACGTCCGCGTTGACACGCACTCCAGGGGAAGCTAACCGCGTACGTGTACATATGTTGCTGGCCTCTGATTCATGCTCCTGTGATGGTACTCGTCTGGGGCGCACAGAACCATACTGATTCTATACGCCCTCCTCGGAGGTGCGCGTCCGACGCGAACATGTAGCATACCCATCTTGTAATATATCGTTTCCCGAACGGTACGGCCAGATAGGGCCCGCCACGGCTCATATACTACAAGATTACTCGGTGCGCGCTTGACCCCTGGCGGGGCGACGTACACATAGTATTAGTACGTTGGGGTGACGCCGATACCCGTCTTTTCATAGTCCTTCTCATGCTTCTCTGTTGGTGATTGATTGCGGTCGGTCTCGGAGCAATGTGTGGCTTGAGCGAGGCGAAACTTCCGAGGAACGCGACTCTTAGAAGGTATGTCGTGCACGGTGGACTGCAAACGACAAATGGACTATCACCCTCGTGGATGCTCTTTTCCACGAGGCTTACAGCTGCGCCTCCGTTGGCTACATCTCGAAGCTGCGATTCAAGGCCGAGTGCACCAATTTCTGACAAGCCGACTGTGGCTCAGAATTCGAAGAACGTCGGGACGTCCGCAGCCGAGGGAGCAACAGCGGGGGTGTCCGATACCCTGGCGTCGATTGGACCCGCGGGTGGTAGGCGGGAACTTGACCGCATGGCCCAGAAGCAGGGCAGAGCGGGCCCGCAGAGCAGGCGATTTAAATAAAAAATAGACCAGTGGTTCTGGAAGTTGCAGCAGCCGTGCCCCTGATTTGGCCGCTTGCGCTGGCCGTGTCGTGGATGCGAGCCTGCTCCCGGGCACATCCCAACGGTCTGCACGATCTGAGGTCCCTCAGGCCGTCCCACGGCTTTCCTTCTCCTCGCCCCTCGCCCGCCTGCGCACCTGTGTCTCAGCTCGCTAGAAGGATGCGCCCCGCCGTGTGCCTCACCGCTTGTTGGATACAACTCGCCGCAGACCAAAAACAAGTGTCTGAAAGTCGAGCTCGGCTTCCAACGAGATGTTTTTTCTGTGTTGCGCGAGGTTGAGCTCGACTTCAGGAACACGCGCAATTCTCCCAACCCCCCACCTCTAAGACCCGAAAGTTTTGCATATTTGCTCTCGCACCGAATACTTCTAGGCGGCCCGCGCTGATCAATCCGCCTCGAGAGCTGTCACACGTAGAATGACTGGGTCTGTGAATCCAGTCCTGATTTCCTTCGATGCTGTATCTGCTTCGCGACGTCGGATCTCGGAGCCGCATGATACCCGCAAAGCAGTGGCCTCACCCCCCTTCCCTCTCGCAAGCGGAGTGTAATCCGGAGCCGCCTCTGAAGAAGAGGATGGGTCCATCTGCCAGGTGCGGGGTGGGACTTCCCACCCATGAAAAGCAACAAACAACTCGTGGCGGCAGACGGCGGCGCGCGGTCCGAGCGAGGACAGGGAGGACAGGGAGGACGAGAGGAACATGCGGAGGGGGACTGAGGGGGAGGAGGAGCGGGAGCTGAAGGCGACGTGGCGCGCAACGGCCTCCCTCACTGTGCACCCGCTCGTGCCTAGCGCCTAGCACCAGCACCGTTCCACGCACCACAAGCGTCGATCCGCCCGCCGACGTGTGGCAGGTCTTTTGTTCGGCCGTGCGCACCGTAAGCATGGAAACTACGTGTGTGTGTGTGTGTGTGTGTGTGTGTGTGTGTGTGTGTGTGCGTGTTTAGGTGCTTATCAAAACAGGCTACCTGCTTATCGCACCTGAACCACACGAGCCTTCTAGCTCAATGTCGCCCTGACCCATCCGCCATCAGTGCACACGCGCTCGATACATCACCTGGAAACTTGTTCCAACGCGGCCGCCTTGCGCTCTCAGCACTGGTCTCACCCAAACACTGCCCGCACAAATATCCCCCTCGCAAACACGAACCGGGCAGCGCGACACTGGATCCACGTGGTCCACTGTCTCGCGAAGTGCGCTCCCACACTGCGCACGCAAAAAACGAGAACGAGAATGAGCGGCGTGGAAAAAAGGCAACAACTCGGACATACTCGCTAAAATAAGCAAAAATAGGCCACAATACATTCAACATAGTCCAAACAAATCGTCCCCAGACTAGCTTTTGACTATTTTTGAATATTCCTCCTGTAGAGGCACAGACCCGACTTGACACTTCATGATGCATCCGCGCGAAGGCTGGTCGAAAACATGGCTACCGAAGAACCTCTCCGCAGAAACAGGAGAGGACACGCCAGAGGGGACGGAGGAGGAGGAGGAGGATGAGGAGCAGGAGGAGCAGGAGGAGGAGGAGGACCAGGAGGAGGAGGAGGAGGAGGAGGAGGAGGAGGAGGAGGAGGAGGAGGAGCGCGAGGAGGACCCACGTGGGGGGAGTCCGCAACGAGGGCAACGGAATCTCACCTCTCACAAACACCAGCCGGAGACGAGCAAAAAAGGTACCCACGAGCATCCAGGGTGGGCCTCCGGCACTGCAGGGCTCACGGGCGACCCAAACTGTGACTCGGAGCGCCCGATGAGGTTAGCCCCCGCCCGACCTTGCCAAAGAGGAGGGGGTTTGGTAGTCGCTGCCACTGGATGCCTGAGGACGTGCTTGTACTCTGTGCTCTCGTTGGAGACGCAGGTCCGCCGCGAGCACATAGTGCAGAATCTTGGAGTAGTAAGTCGGGCGTGTCCCCCTACAGGGGGATTTTGGGCGAAAAATGAAACATATTCCTAACATACCCCCCAAGTATTCAAAAATAGTGAAAAATCGTCCCCGTACTATTTTTTACTGTTTTGGACTACTCCCCCTGTGGAGGGACACGCCCGACTTAATTGTAGTACATCGTTTCCCGACCGGCATGGCCAGAAGGCGCCCGCCACGAGGCTCATGATAGAGGACTTCCGAGCGTGCGCGCTGTTCTCGCGTGGCCGACGCGCAGCTGGCATCGGAATGCTCGTGCGGTGCCGATGCCAAGCTGGCTGCCGCCGGTGCTGCACGCCGTCCGCGACCAGCACTGCCTTCAGGTCGGGCCTGTCCCCTTACAGGGGGATGTTCGACGAAAAATGAAAACAACCCCAAAAATGCACCGAAATGGCAAAAACAAATCAAAACATAGTCCCCAGAGTATTCTTTGACTATTTTTGACTATTCCCCCTGTGGAGAGGGACAGGCCCGACTTAAATCCGGCATCAGAATGCTCGTGCGGTGCCGATGTCAAACTGGCTGCCGCCGATGCTGCACGCCGGCCGCGACCAGCACTGCCTGCGGGTGCAGCCCCTGGCGGGCGAGGAACGGTACAGCACAACCTGTTTCGTCGCCGGGGGCGCTGCCCCAGGGCGGCTGGAAAGCTGTGCCTTCGCGTGCCACCGCAAGGGTATAAGCTGTCCCCGACAGCGAACCAGTTTTTCTCTATACCGTTCTTCGCCCGTGAAAGCCCGACGTTGGAGGCCTGGAAATGCGCACCAACACCAACACAGGGGGTTGCCTCCACAGGGAAATAAATGATCCTAGACTTCGGTGTCGGCGGTCATATGTCGGTCACCTTGAAGCCAAACTATTACCGCCATCGCCGAGT